GGTGCTCGCAGGGGCAGCCGTTGGTGGCCAGACAGAGTGGGGGGCTCCCCCCCAGCTCGGCGCAGCCCCCTGTGGAGCAGTAGTCCTCCTGGGTGACGGTGCTCCGCAGGGCAGCAGCCGGGCTCTTGCTCACCTCCAGGAAATCTGGCGTCGTGCATGCCTCTTTCTTAAGAAGGAAAAAAATGCTCTGTGGGACGCCTTACGTGTGCTTTTCACACCCCACCTGCACCCCACCACCCTGTCTGCTTTGCAGGCAGGATGGCTGCTGGCTCCAGCCAAAGCCTTGGCAACTCGGACACCGCCAGGGCTTGTCCTGGCTTCCCAGCACAGCTCCCACACCCCAGTTTTGTGACCAGGGCCATGCTGGGGATGCTCACAGCCAGCCAGGAGGGGACTCCTGGTCATGTCCCTGCTGGGGGACTTCATTGGAGGGGGACACCGGGGGACCATGGCTCCTCCTGTGGCCCCACAGCTGTGTGATGTGGCCCCAGGGTGACGGGAGGAGGTAGTGGTGCCTGTGGGTGCTGCAGTCAATGGGGACAGAGTGGGAGAGGAGAAGGGGACCTGCTGAAGGGATGTCCTCCCCAGGGAGCTGGAGACGAATGGCAGTTAAGCTTAGCACCCGCAGCACGTCTCGCCCTCCCTGTACTTTATAGGCATTAGGCCCCACAGCTGTGTGATGTGGCCCCAGGGTGACGGGAGGAGGTAGTGGTGCCTGTGGGTGCTGCAGTCAATGGGGACAGAGTGGGAGAGGAGAAGGGGACCTGCTGAAGGGATGTCCTCCCCAGGGAGCTGGAGACAAATGGCAGTTAAGCTTAGCACCCGCAGCACGTCTCGCCCTCCCTGTACTTTATAGGCATTAGCTAATTAGTGCTTTTGTGCAAGCCTGCCTGGCTGTGGGGACAGGCAGGGTGCAGGGAGAAGGGGAGCGCTGCCTGCAGACATCCCCCCTTCCTCCCTCCTCCCCACTAACGAGATTGCTGGGACGAGCCTGTCCTTCCAGCTCACCTTCCCGCTCCCCCCAGGCTGGGGGATTAGCAGCACTAATCCTTCCAGCAGCTCTACGCGAGGGCATCGCCGCAGCTCCGGGCAGCAAGCGAGGGCAGCAAGCCCTTGGCGCTGGGCTTGGAGGGGTCTCCAGAGGGACCCAAGACCCTCCTGCCCACCCAGGAGAGGAACAGCCCCTCCATGGGGTACACGCTACCTTTGGGGGTGCTGAGCCTGGCCCCTCGCTGGTGTGGGGGCTCTTGCTCTGCAGGCTCCAGAGGAAGTGGCGGATGTAAAGGAGGTGCCGGTAGATGTTGTCGTCCAACGTCTCCACCTCCAGGTCCACTTTGAAGCCCCCGCTGGGCAGGATGATGGGCGGGTGGTTGTCGAAGGACTCCAGCATCTCATCTGAAAGGCAGAGGGAGGGAGGCTAGCACTGACCCGGGCTGCACGCTGCTCCTGCCTCTCGGCTCTCAGCCACGTGCGGGCTCTCAGCCGGTATCGGGGACACGGTGAGCTGCAAGGCAGCAGCACCCTTTACTTGGGAACACAGAAAGAGCCCCAAGCCCTTCTGAGTGCGCTTTGATCCTTTGCAATATCCGAATCATGGGGCTGAGGTTATTCTTGATCATGGCAGTTACTACAGGAGCCCCAGGGAGGGGAAGGGAATTGCCTGTTTGGTTTGTACATAAAAACCTTGGAGGGAGCCTGCGGGTGACCGGAGCACGGTGACCGAGCAGCGCTGAGCGCGAAGCCAGGGGCTCACCG